TGTCCTCTGGCAAACCTGTTTGTTCTCTTATTCATGGTAGGTCCACGACTCTTCTCCATCACCACAGCCCAAAGGCATCAATTCTTCTTCCATCATCCTTCATCATTGTCCAGATCTCAGATGCATAGCAAGCAACTGAGAAGACCATTTCCTGGATCAGGTGCACCTTAGTGTCTAGTCTGAGTTGTTGCTCTTTATGATGCTGGAGAGGTCCCTGACAGCAGACTTTCCCAGTGCAGCTCTTCCTTTGATTTCCTGGCTGCTGGTCCATGGTGCTGATGGTGGGTGCTTAGGTACCACCAAGTTCACTCTGACTCATGCCACTCCAACACGCAGCACGGCGTGGTACCCCATCCTCACAGGCTCCGCTGGGCTCAAGCACGTGGTTGCACTCACTGTCACTCCATCCCATGAAGAATCTTCCTCTTTGTCATGGATCCCCCGTGTCACCAAGCACGTTGTCCTCTGGGGAACTCTGGCAAGGTTAAATGACAGATTCTGGAGTCGAGTTGTTCAAATGTCCACAAGTTTCTATCTTCGACTCATCCAAACTGCAGCATTGAGGACGCCTTGCACTCGGAAGGAGGTATGAGGCCCACCGTTCAAGAAAGACAGCGTTCTCTGCATAAACAAAGGATGTTGACTGGGAGGGAAGCAGCAGGTTCAGGAAGTTCTCATTTAAGCAAAGACGGGCCCTTTGGAGGGGGTCGTGGAGCATTTGATTGGAACATGCACCCCATCTTTCCACTCTTAAGAGACCAAAGGTCTTTACTTTTATCCTGATGACGCCCCAGGAGAACCCAGGTTTGGAAAAGCCAGCTAAGGAAGTTCTGTAGACAGAAGTACCAGGGGCTGGTTTTGATGTTCGTGGCCATTTCTGGTAACAGAAGTCACCCACCTTCTCTGTTTCCTGGGTTGCAGGAAACGAGGGGAACCCCCAGACCCATGTGCAGAAGAGCTGAGCCCTCTGCCCACCCTCTGTCTGAAGCACTAGGAGACCCTGGGGCCCCAAACCCAACCTTCCTCAACCACATGCCCTCTGAAAATACTGTCCCCCACCGCTCAGGTGGCTCCAAAGCCTCCATGGGACACCCTCTTTCCTGAGCCCTTCTGCCAAAACTCAAATCCTCCAGGGCCCAGCTGCAGGGCCTGCCCGGTCTTCCACCTGCCTGGGAACAGTCTGAGAATCGACAAGGACAGCCCCCAGGATCCACTGAGTCTCGTGTGTTGGGGCAGGACCCTTACCCAGCTTCTTACTGCTTTTTTTTCGTCTTCTTTTTCTTTCTTGCTGTGTACTGTCGAATCAGATCTGACTGGCACAGGAGGAGATTGCCCCTCCTTCTCCAATGGAGCATCTGGTGGATACGAACTGTATGCCTACGGGATTGCAGTACAGCTTCTTGCCACTAGGCCACCAGAGCTCCCTCTTCTCACTGCTTTTAATACATGCCAGCACATTTTCCCTCTGTTAGGGACTTCTCCAAATTATTGAAGAGTAATGATGTCAGTTTGAGGACTAAGGTGCATCTGATTCAGGCCATAGTCTTTCCGATTACTTGCTGTGCATTTGAGAGCTGGACAGTGAATAAGGATGACAGAAAAAGAATTGACGCATTTTGAGCTGTGATGTTGGAGAAGAGCATTAGACATCCCATGGATGGCCAAGAGAATAAACAGATGTCTTGGAGAGGGGGTGCAGCTGGAGTGCTCTTTGGAGGCAAGAATCATGAGGCTTCACCTCACACTTTGGACATGTTGCTAGAAGGGGCTAATCCTTGGAGGATGTGATGCTGGGAAGGAGAGAGGGTTGGCCAAGAAGAGGAAGACCCTCAACCAGTTGGATTGACATGGTGACTGCTGCAATGGGCCCTTGTCTGTCAGGAAATGTGAGGATGACGCAGGATAGAACAGGATTCAGAGCCCTTGTTCACAGGGTCACTGTGAATTGTGCTCGACTTGACGGCACCTAATAACTGGTGTATTTCATCAGGCAATGAGTTAGGAAGATGAAGGAATTCATGCCTTTGGTTTATGGCGTTGGTGACAACGTTGAACACACCATAGACTGCCAGAAAAATCTACTTCAGAACGGTGCAGCCTGAATGCTTGCTGGAAGTGAGGAGGGACTGGCGTCTGCTTGCCTACTTCAGATGTGTCATCAAGAGGGACCAGTCCCTGGAGGACACCAGGCTTGCTAAAGTGAAGGGTCAGCATAACAGAGGAAGGTGCTCGGTGCACTGCAGTGACACGAAGGTGGCTGCAAGAATGGGTCAAACAAGGTGGTGATTGGAGGATGTCACAGGACTGGGCAGGCCTGGATAGCTGAGAGGGAGCCGACTGGACAGCCCCTGACAGGGACATCACCGCTGAACACAGGAGAGACACCCTGCCTGGCCTCTCACACCCCGTTCCTGCCCAGCCCCTCAGAGCCTGGGTTCCGCCCTGGAGCAGCTGGGCTGCGATCTCGGGGGACAAACGTGCTCTCCCTTCATTGGATTTTAAAATAAACCAGGTTCCGCAGCGGCTCCAGAGTCAAAAATAGGAGTCTCTGGGGCCATGGGGGCCAGGGCAGTGGGCAGGGGTGAGAGTCAGTGTTCCTCCCACAGAGGGGCTGAGGCGGTGTGCCCCCAGTACTGGTTCTCACTTCTGCTTCAGCCAAGGCCCTTCCAGGGTCCTGAGTCCACCTGGCACAGGACATGGGGACTGCCTGCAATGCACCTGTCGCCCCTGCTGGTCACCAGATCTGACGTCCTCAGGCCCCGAGCTATCTTTAGTGCTCGCAGGCTCCACTGCCCCTCGGACCTCCCAGGGGGCTCCCGTGGCCTGTCTCAGCTTTCCCAGCCTCAGGCCCTCTGCACGCGTACACCGCCCTCACCCCCAGCCCCGAAGTCCAGCCCAGAACAAGACATAGGTGCCCACTGCCCTTTCCCCCTGCCCGGTAATCACTGTGCCTCTGGGAGTCCTCTCAGCCCACGGCCCAGCTGGCTGTCAGGGCCTCCCAGGGCTGCCCAGCCAGGCCCTGTCTGTCTCTGTTGTTTGTGGCCAGCAAACACAGAGCCAAGACATCCAGGGTGGTGCCCCACCAAGAAGCCATGAAGGCTGTGTGACCCCCCCTCATGATAGGAGGCACCTGAGGGACTGCATCAGTGGGCAATGACATGCCTCAGGAGCCAGGCCCCCTGGGAATCCAGGATCTTTGTCCCCGCCCTGCCACAGGAGAGGACAGTGGCTTTCAATTCTGGCTCCGCCACCCCACCCTGACACCGGCCCTGGGACACCGAGGGGGGTGGTCTGTGGCTAGGACACAGAGGTCCCCCCGTGCTGAAACAGAACGAGGTCCAGCCACCACCTCTGTGGGCCCGCGGGTCTCCTGTTCTGCTTGGCCTCCACTTTCCAGAACAACCTCAGCTGGGGCCTCTCCCTCCCACCCTCTCCCACCCTACACCCACCCTGCTCCAGGGTGCAGAAATCCGAGGCTGGTTATGTCCCATCTTCGCAACCTGGTGCCACCTACAATGTCCCTAAAGCTGCCCTCCCACGAGGCTGTGGTTTGTCCCATCTGGGGCAGCGCATGGGGACCCCTCAGTTCAGCAGCCTCGGGAGAGTGTTAGACTCCTGGCTTCACAGTTCCCTGCCACCTAGGACATGCTACTTGACCCCGGGGCCAGGCAGGTGCATTTAACTGTCAGAATAAAAAAAGTGGCCCCAGCACGAGGCCCTGGACCCTAACAGTCCCCTTTGACAGAGCTCCTGACACAGAGACCATATGCAACCGTCGGCTGGTGACCGGTCCTGGCCCACTGCCATGCTGTGGATTCCAATTCATAGCAAACCTGTGGGACATTAGACAGGTTTCCAAGACTGTCCGTCTTTATGTGAGCAGATAGCCTCCTATTGTCCCCTGGAGCAGCTGTTGTGGTTGTGGTTGTGTGCCGTCAAGTAGGAACGACTCAAAGCTGCCTCTCCAGCGGGTTCTCAGAGGCAGTAAATCGCACAGGAGGAGATTACTCATCTTTCTCCTGTACAGCAGCTGCTGGATTCGAACTGGCTACCTTTGGGCTGGCAGCAGAAGTCCTTACCACTAGGCCACCAGAGCTCCTTGGAGCAGCTCGTAGATTCAAAATGACAATCTTTGCTTATACTGCTGGGTCACCAGGGCTCCTGCCCCTTCTAGTCAAGTTTGCACATTTTGGGGAGGCCCCTGTGTGGACCCCAGTGCCAGAGAGGAACAGAGTGTGCTCTGGAACAGAGCTCCTGGGCTGTGGGGTGAAGAATAGGGGGCAGGGAGGCCCAGGCGGCAGGTGCCCAGAGCCCTGAGTCACCCCCAGGCTGCCCAGCGCTCACGCTGCAGTTGTCTGGTCCCCTGGGGGGGCCCGGAGACTGTCCTTGTACGGAGTGACAGCAGACATCAGTGCTGTCCTGGGGGACCTGGAGGGAGTTTAAAACCAGTGAGCCCCGGGCAGCAGGGGGCACAAACGGCTGAGGACAGACAGACATGGTGAGTGGGGGTGGAGGGGCTGAGACTGGGGGGAGCGTGAGGGTGAATGCCCCGCACCCTACAGCCACCTTGCTGACTGACCCTCAGAACAAGCCTGTCCACGCAGTCAGCTGGCCGCTGTTAGACCCCAGCCAAGGTCAAGCGCTTTCAAGGGCACAGACCTCACAAGCCCAGCCTGCGGGGCCATGCTCTTCCTGGGCTCCCATGTACACGGCTCCCCATCCTCCGAGCTGTTGTTGCTGTTAGGTGCTGTCGAGTCAGCTATGACTCACAGAGACCCCATAACAGCAGGTCTGTTGCTTCCCTGGGGAGGTGGGCCCGGTGCCCTGTCCTGTCTCATGCCAGCCTCACCATCTCTGACACACTGGAGCCCACGGCTGCAGTCACTGTTAGTCCATCTCACTGAGGGTCCTACTCTTCTTGTTTGACCCTCCACCTATCCAAGCACGATGTCCTTTTCCTAAGTGTCCTCAAATAGCGCCCCCCCATCTCGCTCCAGGCCAGCAGGAAGACCAAGAAGAAGGAAGGGGGTGCCCTCCGGGCCCAGAGAGCCTCCTCCAACGTCTTCTCCAACTTTGAGCAGACCCAGATCCAGGAGTTCAAGGAGGTGAGTTCAGGACGCCCCCCTCCCGAGGTTCCTGCCTCCCCCACCCCCGAAACCCCCGCAGGAGGGCAGAGCTGGGCGGGGCTCAGTGCCAGACCTCACCTCCGCAGGCCTTCACGCTGATGGATCAGAACCGTGATGGCTTCATTGACAAGGAGGACCTGAAGGACACCTATGCTTCCCTGGGTAGGTGGGCCCGTGCCCAGCTCCTTGCCGCTCAGCCCTGTCCTCTCTGAGTGCAGTTCTGGGGCGACAGCCAACCCAATGTCCCCCGTGCGGGGCAGGCCCAGGGCCCTCCCTTGGGAGACCAGAGCAGGAGTCCCGGTGGCGCAGTAGCGGATGCACTCTGCTGTTAACAGAGGGGTTGGTGGGCCCGTGGGCCCCTGCGCAGGGGAGGCGCGTGGATGTCTGTTCCCCGGGGGAGTCTGTCAGCGTTAGTAACCCTGCAGGGAGGCTTTGTCCTGACTTACCACCTCACAACCAGTCAGAGTCACAGCCGGTTCAGAGGTCAAGCTGTGCAGTGACCAGAAGGCAGGCAGGGAGGAACGGGGCGGCTCCAGGGGGACCAGACGGTGGAGAGTGGGTGGAAAGGGGTTCATGTCAGAATCTGCTCCAATGCACAGCTGGGACCACAGGCGCTGAGGGGCGGAGGGAGTCCAGAAACCCCTCAGGAGCTGGAGAGGGGACCCTTCTGTGTGTCCACACTGGCTCTGCCATCCCCACTCCCAGACACCCAGCCTGGCTGCCCCCGGCCTCTGCTGCCCACTGTAGGGGTCTGTCTCCTCTTCCTCATCAGAGGCTTGCTTCGGGCTCAGGGTTTGGGGTTCAGCTGGGACACCCAAGCTGAGCCTCAACTTTTCTGGACGCCTCTTCCCTCAAGTGCCTGGGTTTGTGCCCTGGGTTTGTTCAACTTGTGGCCATGGTGGGCAGGCAGAGGTGGGCAGCTCACCAGACTCTCCTGCCATTGAGGATAGCACAGGCATCAGTGACAACAGAGACAGCAGAGGACAGACAGGGAGAAGGCAGGTGGGCGGGGACAGACAGCAGGGGACAGACAGGGAGTTAGAGACGGACTGGGAGGGGGTGGGGTGAGCAGGGACAGACAGGGAGGGGATGGAGTGGGTGGGGACAGACAGCAGGGGACAGACGGAGTTGGGGGGGCATGAGGACAGACAGAAAGCAGGGGATAGATGAGAGGGGGTGGGGGGCGGGGACAGACAGACAGCAGGGGCCAGACAGGGAGGGAGTGGGGGAGCCGGGACAGACAGACAGCAGTTCCCTCCACAGAAGGGACACTGTCCTCACTTTCACTGCACCGTCTGCCACAGGCAAGATCAACGTCAAGGACGATGAGCTGGACGCCATGATCAAGGAGGCCTCGGGGCCCATTAACTTCACCATGTTCCTGAACCTATTTGGAGAGAAACTGAACGGTGAGAGCCTGCAGACACCAGGTGTGGGGCTGCCAGGTGTGGAGGTGTGAGGTATGAGGATGTCAGGTGTGTAGGTACCATATGTAGGGAGTCAGGTGTAGAGGTGGGGGCTTTAGGTGCTAGGTGCAGGGGTGCTAAGTACAGGGGTGCCAAGTTCAGGGGTACCAGAGTGCAGAGCTATCAGGTATGGGGGTGCCAGGTGTGAAAATGTCAGGTACAGGGATGCTAGGTGAGGGGGATCAGGTACAGGGTGCCAGGTGTGTGGGTGCCAGGTGCAGGGACATCACAGCTGAGGCTGCTGGGTACATGGGTGCAGGGACATGGGTGTCAGGTATGTGCCGGCTGATGCCAGGTCTGCAGGAGCAGGGTAGGTATCAGGGCACCAAGTGGGTGTCTTTGGCTGCATGTGTGACAGCCAGGTTTGGAGACACCAGGTGAGGGCTCTTGGGTGCAGGTGGAGCAGGGCCAGGCCCCTGGCAGCCCCCAGAGACATGAGAGTAGTGACGGCACCAGCACTGTCGCCAGCCCACATCCTGTCTGTCCCTCAGGCCCGTGATGATGACAGTGGTGATGTCTACTCATCTTGGAATCACGGAGCTGATTCCAGGCCTGGGATGGGGCTCTGGGGGCCCCAAGGGGAGCCCTGGTCAGGCTCAGTGAGGTGGCTGGGACAGGGGGACAGGTCTCCAGTGGACAGGAGAGGAGAGGTGCCAATCCCTCCACCCCAGAGGTCAGGGGTCTCAGAGCTGGGCTGTGTCCTTCCTCCTCTGCCTGCCTAGGGCATGGCCGGGAGCAGGACTCTGACACCCTCAATGCCCAGGCTAAGGCATCGGGGGGAGGAGAGGGAAGACCCCCAAGGAGCCCGACTGACCTGTGACAGGAAAGGGGCTCGAGTGCAGCAGAGACCGAAGACAGCTCGGGACCGGACGGGGGTCTCATTCTGTCTGTGCGCAGAGTCTCTGTGAGTCAGAACGATTTCAGGGTCCCTGACATCTTGGGCTGCAGAAAAGCACTGGGTATCCCGTGGACACCCAAAGAGCGAAGTCGTGGAGAAGGTGCAGCCAGAGTGCGCCTTGGAGGCAAAGATGACCAAGGTCCGTCTCACATATGTTAGGCATGTTGCTAGGAGAGGCTGGTCTTTGGAGTGGGACGTCATGCTAGGAAAGGTGGGGGGCCAGTGAAGGAGAGGAAGACCCTCACTGAGATGAACACAGTGACTGATCCCCAAGTATCTCGGAGATGATGAGGATGGCGCAGGACAGGGCAGGGTTCATGTCTGTTGTGGTCGCTACGAGTCATTGACTGAAGGGCACCCAGTGATAACAGGCAGATGTGTTTGTGGGCAGGGACGGATGCAGAGGACACTATCCTGAACGCCTTCAAGATGCTGGACCCCGACGGCAAAGGCAGCATCAACAAGGAGTAGTGAGTGCTGACCGGGCCCGGGGTGGGCTCCCCAGGGCAGTTCGGAGGGTCTAACACGATGCCCTGGGGTAGAGGTAGGTGGCCGCCCGCCCGGGCCCACCTCCCCTCATTCTCACCAAGGACAGAGCTTAACCAGCGCTGTTCATTCGAAACCAAATACAGACGCCTGGGGCGTTACTGTGGCTGACAATTACATTAACTATGATTAATAATTATTACATAGCAGTTATTGCTGTTTTAGTAGTATAACCCTTAGCCCCTTTTAAGGGAACTCTGGTGGCCTAATTAAAAAGCTGAGCTATGATCCCAAAGGCACGCGGTTCAAATCTACCTGCCGCTCTGCAGGTAAAGGACGGGCAGGCTTGGGCCATTTACTGCCTCTGAAAACCCATCACAGGGTCAGCTGCGGGCCAGTTCCCACTCGACAGCGCACAACAGCAACAGCAGCCCATTTTATTGAGGGCTACCTGTGCCAGGCGCCTGGCTGGCACGTGGTTACCGCCCAGCTGCTGACTGAAAGTTCAGCCATTGAAACCCAGACGCTTCTCGGGGGCAAGACGTGGCAGCTTCCACAGAGATGGAAGCGAAACCAGAGAGAAACACAACCGTCCTGGGTGGGTTCTGACTGAGGGGCCCTCCGCCAGGCTTGTGGCCGTCGAGTTGAGTCCCAGCGTCCCTATAGCATCCCTACAGCGTCCTGCACTGAGCCTCCCCTCCCTCCCCTCTTGGAGGCTGGGGCATCAGTTCGCAGAAAGGCCTTGAGTGTGGGTTTCCAGGTTTGCGGCCAATCCTGGTGGTGCTGTCTGTGGCTTAGCACTTGCTCTAATTAAAAGTTTGGGAGTTCTGGAGGAAAGATTGCACTACCAGATCCCGGATTATAGTCTAGGGAACCCCAAGGGGCAGTGGCCATGGGGCCTCTGTTTGGGCTGAATCCACTGGACAGCACGGAACAGCAGCCTGGGCTGTGCCCTGGACCCCGGAACATTCGGGTAAACCCCTCCATGTGCAGACATGCCCTGCTCATGGCCCCCAGCCTCGGCCCTGTTCCCAGGCAGATGTGTACCCAGAAGAGCCCTCGCCCAGGCTGTCCACAAAGTCAGGCGTCAGCTCTGCGGGGATTTGAGTGACTCCCACCCCCACCCCATGGGCACGCTGGTGGGGGGGCAATTACAGCCACTCGGCCCTGGGGATGGTAGGGGGCTGCTCTTTTGCTCAGGACTCTGCTGTCTTCCTTTCTTCAGCATCAAACGGCTGCTGATGTCCCAGGCCGACAAGATGACCGCTGAAGAGGTTTGACCCCC